GCAGCAGTAGCAGTAGAGCTCGCGCTTTGTTTACATGTCAAAAACACATACATACAGACGTAGCTATGCCAGGTAACGAGCGACTCGTTAAAAGCTCATGCACGCTCACTCAGTCAGCTGCGTATGAGTGTGTGTTTATGTGTGAGTGGGCGTTGCATGCGTGCGCTCTCACAAATTCTCTCCCCTCTCTTTTTTTAGTTTGACAAACAGCTGTTTGTGCTCTGCCCTAATTTCTTGACATTGCAAAGGCCGATTCTCTCTTCAAAAGCTTCAACTGCACTGAGCGCCCATTTGCGTATGTGTGTGCGTGTGTGTATGTATGTGTCTGCTTGTTATCCTAGCTGACATTGTAAACATGACCGAAATGCATGTTTGTAAAGGTGTGTGTGTGCCTGTGCGTGACAGTGTGGGCGTAAAGCCGCATTTGAAGTGCCCAGCGCCACATTCATTTGCATATTTGAGCTCATTCAGAGAGAGCGCAAGGGAGAGCCAGTGAGCAACAGAGAGTGAGAGGTTTTTGGTCTCATGTGTAACGCAAAGATAAGTTAAACTTAATTAAAGTTTTAGAAGGGAACAAATCGCTGGCTGACTCGAGTTGCATAAATTATAAGGTTGGGCCCTGTAATAACTAGAGGATGCTTAAAGAACTAAACTATTTATACGATTTCATAATCGTCTTACTCTAAATTACCTGTTTCTTGAAAGTAAAAGGGTATTTCAATTTCGATTTGATAAAATGCAAAGTTACTATAAATATCTCCAATTTGAAAAATTAAATATATAAAAAATATATTTTAGTAACACAAAGCAAGGCCCTTCATATATATCAGCAAAGAGTATTTATTCTTCGACAGTACGCTCTGAACTGTCTCATTCTGTTGTTAATTAAATATTTATTGTGCTTCAAATTAGTTTTTGACAGCTGAGTTTAAACCTTTGATATGTTATTTTCTTGGGATTATGGATGTCAGGTGCGTTGGTTGATTCGGCTTGATTAATAATTCACGTCCCTGTTGCATGTGTCCTTCCTCAAGCACAGTAGTCAATTAAAAAGGAAAATAGTCCAGCCATTCGAGATCTTCTTCGGGCAATAAGTGCTTTAAATAATCCAAGTCATCACCGTATTTCCCCGGTAAGGTATGCATGTTGTTCATATAGGGCGGATATGTCTTGGCTATAATTATCGCTCGCCTTGCCAGCTCTGCTATGCCACGTTTATATATGAAGTCTTCGTGCTCCTCGTACGCCTGTCTTACAATAGAGTCAATCTCAAGACCCGCATGTTCTTCAGAGCTGGACGCATTAGATGGCCCCGCTTCTCTACCATCGATGACCACATTGGCAGCCGGTGGTTCCGAAAGATCAGATTCACAATTATACATTTGCACAGGAGTACAAACAATGTTTATTCCAGACTAAATACGAGGCTAGGCATTGTTGTACATAAAAATCACAGCATGCTTTATTTATCTTCTCAAACACTAAAAAAAGTTATTCAATAACTCTGTTTATTTTTGGATCTGAAATCCCAAAGCACAACAGAACTTTCTCTCTATTTTATTTTATAAAAGTAATATTTGTTTATTGTTGGTATATGGAATGATATATTGTAAAATAATCTAAAGGAAAAACTTACTATGAGTTTGTAAGACTCAATAATCTTAGAAGGCAAGTAGAGGGGAAAGGTATATCAGATCAGAGTTAAATAAACTAGTTGATACGTTTTATCTTTTATTTAACTTCGCTTCAACTGCCAGAACAGACAGTCAAAACCTGAATCATATGCATAAGTAAACCGTCTATACTCCTAATGCTACACCTTCTAAGGCCTTAAGGCACATTTTGATTGAAGTTTTTTGTTGACTTTGACTTTGCTGTGATCTTCATTGTGCTGGGCTTGCAAAAACCATTGCTGTTTTTTTATCTCATGCTCTAGAGCCGCTTGGGTAATGATCTTGTTGATCTCTTGACCGGCCAACTGCTGCTCCTTGTTGTGATCCATGTTGGAAATCAATTGTAGCTGCAGGTGTGCCGGCTTGTAGTTGCTCGTTACCTCCACATAGGCGGCGGGCTCGATGCCGTAATACCATAAATTGGCCAGCTTGTTCGATCCCGTCCAGTCAGTTGTCGCTGCTATTGTTGGCGTGAAACTGAACTCAAAACATTTCCCCCTCTCAATTTGAAAGGCAGTCGCTGTGACTTTAGTCATCACAATTTCCAGGCAAAACAAACAATTGATCCAGCTCATATAAATACATATATATCAATATATAGTGTATGATGAACATATATATAGAGTATGATGAACCATAAATAAAAGTAAATATGTCGCATCAACAAGTTGACTCGGTGCTAAATGCTAATACAACTTTTATATCAATATTCAATAGACACTATACGACATAATAGTTTGATACGACGTCGTTCATAACTGGTTCCTTTATATTCAGTCTAAAAGTGTGCAGAGATATTGCAGAATTCCCTGTTAAAGCTTTTCTAGCCTTCTAAAGCTCTTTGTGCTTTGCTACTTTCCCAACGATTTGCCTGAGCTTTCAGGAAAGTTTTTTGGTAGCTGTCCTGGCTAAGATATTTCAGTGTACGAAATTACTCCACTTCTTGCTCACACATATAGACGTGTGTGTATGGGTGTGTTTATTTTTGTGTGCGCTTGACTGTGAGAGCAAAGTGTGGAGTATGTCACATATCAAAATATCTTAGCCAGGACAACAAATATATCAGTGAATGAGCTATTGACCGAAAGCTTATTAAAATTGAGAATAAATTGTAGTTCGACATTGTTATACTCTATAACAATGACATCTTTAAAGAATAATAAAAAAATTATAAAGATATTTAATTGTTCTTTTTTGATGTCTTTTTCATAGACTCCATTTTCAAAAGAATTACAAGTTTTTTTTCTATATCTTTTCTTTTTTGTACCCTAAACCCATAGACAATTGATGCTATAGCGGTTTTAAGGAAGAGGCAACATATAGAGTATACCTATGGATATTCTTAATCTGACAATCTAAAAATCTGTTCGTTTATCTAAAGCAGAAAGGCTAAAGGAGAATATGCAATTGGAAATCTATATTCGTGTATACCATCTGAAAGTTCGAGCTTATAATTTGTTATTGATAATCATCTCATTTTACACTCGTAAAAAATTTTATTTTATTTTATTTGGTCCTTTAAGCATAGCATGAATTAAAGCTGGACTATTCAGATGTACTGAAATTTCAGACCCCTAAATTAATACTGAGCTATACAAAATATACTATTGCTCAGTATTAATTATATATAATTTGGTATAATCTCTAAATTTGCAAATACCTTTTAAAAAAGACAGATTTTTCAAATACACAGATTTGAATGTCATTATGTCCAGAAATTTCATTGTAAAATTGCATTTAGAACAAAAGTTATGCATTTCGTATAGTAAAGCGTAGCCCAAACCCAGTAATTATGTGTAGCTCGTACTCTTTGCAGGGTTCAGGGTACCTCCTAGTCGGGCAGTCCCAACAACACCACTCTCATTTATTTCGTTAATTTGTTTAAAGGCTTCAGTGTTCAGTTAAATCATGACTAAACATCAAATATACTATAATTGTTGGTATAAATATTTACAAGAAACTATCAATTGTCACTTGTCAATCCTAAATGCCTTCAACAACAGGTCGAACTCAATAAAGAAGGCGACTTTCTCTATTTATAGTATTAAGCCAATGGTAAAAGTGGCTTGTTCTTATTGATTAGTAAATTTTGTATCAGTTCAGGTTGGTTTTGCCTTCGATTAAATAAATTATGATTCGTTTCATTGCCACGCAGTTGAGTTACAAAAACAAAAGGCGACACCTTTCCAATTAAAGGCTGAGACCATTAAAAATTCCATTTGGGGACAATAACAAAAAAGTTGGGTTGGTGTAATAAACAGGAAGGCGACACGAAACGTAACTAAAATCGAATCACATCGAATTGCTTTAATGTTTATCGCCAGCGAATCACGAACAACCTACATCAATTATTCAATTTGTCAAACACTTTGACAAATGCAATTGAACAATAAAAAACACGACACATTAGTAAGTACACAAAAAAACAATACAATGAACAACAATTGTATTTGAATAAATAAAATAGATAGAAACAATTGTATTTGAATAAACAAAATAGATAGAAACTTCGTATTTAAATATATGATATAAGGACTTTATACAGAATATATGATTTTGATAGCTGTTGAAATAGTCTTTCAATCTCAATGAAATCAGTGATGGAAGCGACCAACTACATATGGAACTAAAAATATGGTATTATTCATATTATATATTACTGATAACAAGCAAATCAGTAATGATCTCAGTATCCTAAGAAATGTTGGGAAGAAATGTCAAAGCTAATTTGCGGATTCAATAGAGCATGTCTATATATAAGATAAAAAATATTAAAGATATTTTTATATATATTATATAATGTGTATAATGGTTTCTAAATAAACCCAACTGTGATATATTTGATATGTCGAGAAAACAGATAATATATATAATACATAAAAACTGATATATAATACGCATAGCATCCCTCGAGGATTCTTTTAAATTTAAGACGCAACTTTTGTTTTATTTTTTAAAGATTTGCTCAAAAATGAACCAAAGTACTTTGCTTGGCTTGTGCAAAGTCCCGACCAGCAGCAACAAAAAAGAAGACGAAATGGACGAAGAGGAAAAGCAACAACAAAAACTTTGGACTAAGCACAATGAGGCGAATAAAGTTGGCGCCAGCCAAAACTGGAGAAAAAAGAGCGTAAGAGAAAAGCGAAAAATGAAAAAGAAAACTAGATAAACATTCTCATGGGTGGGTGTCATGTTATCGTCTATTGTGACCGTTTACGCAGTGTGCAAAAAGGGTATATTCGCTTTATGTCTGTATAAATGAGCGCAAGTCGGAGATATGAAAATTGCAATTTTTAATTAAAGTTTATAGTGAGTATGTCGTACTGATCAGGATAGGTTCAGATAATGTTCCATTACCATGAACTGCAATTGAATTGAATCAGCTATTCATGAACGATAAGTTCCATTGAATAACTGATCAAGCGAATATCGATCATGCACAGCTCTAACTGAACTGACTCATCGATTGAGCTAGCTGCACTTCGAAAGCGTCAATAACTGTATACCTCATTATTGTAATCCATTGGAAAACGAAAGATCGAATCTATAAATAATGCTACATTGTGAAGGCAAATGAAAGTGAAATGAAATGCCTGCGCAAATAGATAACTAAAAAAGAATCTAAATATAAAAAAACAAAAGATTTTAATTTTCTTATATTTCAATCTACTTTTAGCATTACGTTCAGGTTGTTCAAGAATATAGATATAGAAGAATATAGACAGAATTAGACTTATGTAGATTTAATCTGTGCTGTTTCAAAACTTCTTTGTTTAGGGAAAAGAGAGTATTAAGAAGTCGAGTACATCCGTCTTACTCTTATTTTATTTAGTTTTTTCACTGTATGACCGAAATTGACTTTATTCGAAATGCAGCAAATGTTGGCAAAAATTCAACATTTTTCTTTTCTTCTGTCACGATTTCATTTAAACTGCCTTTGCGAATGCAACGTGTTGCACTTACTTTCGCATTGCTGTTGTCATTGCCGGGCTGCAGCTCCAGCTGGGCGGGTCTAGTCAGGGGCTGCTGAGCTTGCTGTTGCTGCGCTTGATCCGTTTCTTTGTTGTAGTAGTCTGCCAGGCTAGGCACCGCCAAGACGCCCACCTTATTGCGCGCCACCTGCTGATGGGTGGGTCGATTGCGCGCCGACAGCATCATGCGGTGCGCCACAAGAGCCATGGCTGCCACGCACGTAAAGTAAATCCAAAATCAAATTGAAAAGAGAAATGAACACGGAAACCGGTCGCTGTTTTGATCGAAGAAAACGCTCGCCACCAACTAAAAAGCGACGCGGCGGAAAAGCCAGCCAGCGACTGCGACACGCACCGGAAAAGGCAGAACAACAAAACAAAATGGCCAAGCTCTCAAGCCATCCTGCTCTAACACACACACACAGACTAACTGTCTCCCTGTGTGTGTGTGTGTGTGTGTGTGTGTGTCTGTGGGAGCTTGTATGTTTGCGTATTAAACGCTGCATGTTTGATGAGCCTTTTGTTTTTGTTGTTGTTGCTGCTTTAACGTTAATATTAATGTCCGACGCGACTGTCTGCCAGCTGTGTCTCTGTGTGTGTGTGTCTGTTTGTATTAGTTTTACCAACACGTGCGCAAGACATTTCCGAAATACGAAAAACAACAAAAAAAAAACAAGTGAAAGTGCTCCCCAGTTAGATGTACAGACTAGTAGATATACTGTGATTTTTATGCTTAACTCTTCATATTGTTAAATCATTCTATTCGTGAAAACTTCAATTTGTATACATTTCTTATTTTTATTATATTTGCAAATTGTTTGTAGTTTCATAAATAAGTAAACTGATAAACTGTATTGTATGCACCCATAAATATGTAATTTATGCCGTATATATGTACACTCAATCAATATACCCTACTCAGTTATTTAGTGGGTAGCGAAAATAAAAACTCGACACATTCACAAGGGAAAAATGGCAATATAATTTGTTGTTAAAATAAAATTATGAAACATACTAAAGAATATAAAATGAATTTCTGAGTGTCAGATTCACTCTTTTAAATGAAAATACTTAAAGACAGAAATTGCTTCATATCATATATACAATTCTTTTTATGAGGAGTCCTAAAATGGTGAGCGTTCGGCAGAACTAGGAAGCAAATTGAAACAGAACAAATGTATCTATATATAAATAATACATAAATATATAAATATATATGCATACTTGTGTGTGGACATATTGTCAATGCATTGTTAATGTACCCAGGTATTAGGTATAGTGTAACTTTTATTTTATTTACCGCTTTGCTCTGGCCGACAATTATAATTTGAGTCATGTGAGCACGCAACCACACTTGTATGTACACATACATATATGTATATATATATGTATATATGTATGTATGATTATATGTGTGGTATCAACAAAGGCAGCCTCTAAACAATGTTCCTTCTGTACGTTGTGCTGAGCAACTTGTTTACTTGACCTTAGTCATTGCCAGCTGCCAACAGCAACAAACAGAATAAAGGAAAAGCGAAGCGGCAATAGTTGATCTAATTCTGGATAACTAACTGTATTCGCCACGCATTTTTTTATTTTCTTCTTAGAGTTAGCAATTAATGCAGTTGTTGAGCATGCAATTGAACCAGTCGTGCCATCAGCACTGAAGAACCACTGAGTGGAACAAGCAAAGGAACAATAGTACAACAAAACAAGTACGCATCTCCCTCGCTTCACTAAGCAATACACAAGCTCATTTGTTCAGTTTGATAAGTTGTTCAATTGAACTAAACACAACAGTTCCATTTAACACAGACGTCATCGACAATAATTGTGCATTAAAAATTAATACGGGTACTCCACATAGTACATAGCACATAGTAATTGAAGCTAAATAAATATTATTTGATAATATAATAAATATATACTATATAAAATGTTGAGAAATATATTGAGAGCGAGTAAATTAAAATCGGAAATTGAAAAAAGGAAATTTATATAAATATTAAGTTGACTGGAATGCGATTTATATAAAAAAATTTTACACACTATAAAAATTTAATGGATGTATTCCTTACTTAGAGTAAAAAATAGCTCTATTATGTGGGATCTCCATTGAGAACTTTGCAATTGTTACGATGTTTCTCTTTATTACAAGGATTTTATATTTATATTTTCCACAGTTTTACTTACCTTATGACATGTTTAACTGATGAATGAGCTATATCAAAAGCATGACGTCATTACTGTGAGCGAGCACACACATATACACAAACATACATACGCACACATTGGTATACATATAAGGAAGGTTAGTTATACAGATGGGTCGATGGGCGGTGTTGTCTGGGCCATTTCTAACGGTTCTTGAGAAAGCGTAACATTTTGCTCTTATTTTTAGTTGCCTCGTTTTTATTTGTGCATAAATTATATCGAAATCTGTGCATTCAAGCTGCAAAGTAAAAAATGTTAATAAGAGAGGAAGAGAGAGATTATCAAAAATTAAATATAGTTTATAAACGTTGCCTAGTAACACGTATGCTCCATTGCTTGGTCTAAAAAATTATGTTGAGACCATGAAATATTTTCAGGTGTACACATAGATAGCCTGTTAATGCCCATGCTCTTTTGTCTATTTAAATTTAAAAAAACACAGACAGCAAGAGGTGGAATGTAACATATTTAGTTGTACTTAGCAGCTTCTTTATTTCTTTATTTCTTATAGAAGTAAGGAATACTGGAATGATTTGTGAAATTAAATTTAAATATTGGCGCACTTGTCAAAAAGTTAGGTGCTACACAACTGTGCGTGCTGTAGCATTTAGCTGAATGGTCGTACACAAGGCAGCATTGGCGTAATCGATAAATGCTTACAACTATCGTAAGGGCTGCAGATTTGCCAATAGTCTCGATTTTAGTGCGCGTGTACACTAATTTTACGCAAAAGACGGTTTACTTAAAATTAATTTTAATTTGTAAAATATAAATATACAAATTATCACTAAAAAAGTGAATAATAGTATTAATTAAAAGAAGTACAGCTTGCATATGTTTTTTTATTTTAAGTTTAAAGTATGAGCTGCGTACCAAGCTCCTAATTGTTTGGCTAAAGAAAGTAAAAAGTACGAAGAAAAAATAATGTCGCCCATGTCAAATGCCAATTCAATAACTCCGACTGAATTAAGTCCATTTGTATATTGGTCACAAACGAAGGGTCAGCTACTGCTCAAGGTGGATCTTAAAGATGCGCAGGTGGGTGGCAGAGAAAAATCAATAATAATATAAAATTTGATGATGAAGAAAATCTAACCGGCAATCAATTTATTAGGGTGTCGTTGCAGAGTTTACTAATACAACGCTCTCATTTGCCGCGACTGGGCATGGAGCACGCGGGCGGAATGCTTATAAATTCCAAATGCGTTTCTTTCTGCCCATCGATGATGAAACTGCGACCTTTTCAGTTACGGACCAAAAAATCGAGTTACATATACGAAAAGCAGAGCCGGCATGGTGGCTGCGACTCATTGCTACGCCTCAAAAGCCGCACTGGCTTCGCATTGACTTTGATCGCTGGCGGTCGGAGGACGATGGAGATAAGAATGAGGCAGTACGAGATGTGCGAGAGGATTATATAGAGGAGTATAACAAATTACAAAAGCAGGAAATTGGCTATGTGAGAGGTGAAAAAGAAGCCGAACCCATGTAATCAATGCCCGCAATTAATTTTCTTTTCTCCTTCACAGAGCATGCGAAGAAGGTTTACTTGATCATATACAATCTGGCCATGCTTGTCGGGTATTTGCACATATTGCTTATAATGGGTGTGCTCTACATACGCGATGGATCGGATAGTATAAAGCATACATATGAATATGTGGGGACATCATTCAAATTTGTACAGCTCATGCAATATTTGGAGGTAATGCATCCTTTATTTGGCTACACAAAGGGCAGTCCACTGGTGCCCTTCTTCCAAATCTCAGGGCGCAATTTTGTGCTCTTCCTAATGATCGAAATGGAACCGCGCATGCATGCCAAACCGGTAGTGTTCTACGTGTTTATTATATGGTCGCTCGTTGAGATAGTGCGGTAAATGCCATCAAGCTATTTATATATATACATACATAAAACTAACTGAATCATTTTTAATTCTTAATCCTCAGCTATCCTTATTATGTCAGCCAGCTGCTTAAGAGGGAAAATGGTTTGCTAACATGGCTGCGCTATACTATCTGGATACCCCTTTATCCCATGGGCCTTGTCTGCGAGGGCGTTATACTGCTTCGCAGCATACCCTACATTGAAGAAACGAAACGCTTTTGTATCGATATGCCCAACAAGTGGAATTCGACATTTGACATGGTGCTCTTCGTAAAGATATATTTGCTGCTACTCGCACTGCCCGGCAGCTATCTGGTCATGTCTCATATGTCCAAGCTACGCGCTAAGAAACTGGGACGCGGCCGAGCTAAGCCAAAAGTTAACTAAGAATATTTTACAAAATTTACTAACTTAAGATAATACCACCCTGTCTGTTTTCATTAATTTACCATTTATTGTTATTTTTTTTAAATAATTCGTTTAAGTTTATGGACTTAATACATATATATGTATATATGATATTAAGTCATATATTAGTATCAACGGTTTATATAGTTAGTGTGCAACCAAAGACTTTTCACTCACACAATTCATACGGTAAAATTAAACAATTTTAACATATTGAAAATACAGAAAAATTTATTCTTCTTTCGCTGATAATAAAAATTTCCGTTTATAAGAAAAAATTTCGAGAAAAAAGCTTTTAAATCCAATTTGTACAAAACTATGACTTGAACGCACTTTGGAAGTATAACCTAAATATCTATGGAAGGAAATTGTTGGTTTTCTTCTCGTCCAACGGTTGTACCTTCTCAGCATCGCGATTAATTTGAGCAAAGCTTTGTATGTTCGAAGTATGAACCTTGAATTTTGTACCATGAGCTATGAATTTGAAAAAGGGTTGCAAAAATAGTCTGAGAAATTTGCAGATAGAATCTATAAGACAAATCCTAAAGAAAATAATGATCTGCTCACCTCTTATAGAATAAGAAATAATTGATGTACAATACATTTTCTTAGTGTTATGCATTTGTATACTTTTTTATAATTGGACTTAAATATCTGTTTTCATTTTTCTGTGAGCTACATACCAAAAGATCTCGTGCATTCAGTTTTAGCATCGTGTCCAGCATTTGGCGATTATTTCCTGTTTGGCTGACTGCTTTTGTAGATCGTAGATTGAACTTGTCTTTGATTGACAACTGATTCACACAATTTTTATTTAATTTTTACTTGTGGGTAATTATCGAAGAATCAGGGAGCAGTTGATATTTTTAGTGTTTATTGAATTTTCTTTTAGGATCTTTAAATCAGTTTCGTACTAAGGGAGTACAGAAAGCTTATCGATTTTTGAATATTGTCTTTTGAAATATAAATTCCGCACAGTGGGGCAATTAATTAGCTAACTACTCCTGCCAAGCTCAATCGAGCTAAAGCCAATGAAAGATGCCACATTAATTTACGTTGCAAAACTTAATTGCATAAACCGAGAAATACGAACGCACCTATTGGCAGTTACCGACTGCATGAAACTCAGTTCTTAGAAGAAATGTTTTACCAGTTGCTGTATTGATTTCTGTTTTTACTTTCTATAAATAATTATTTGCCAGTTGCTATTTCTTTAAAATTAGTTTGAAAGGAGAGTCAACCTATTCACATACAAACACATATTTCTTTCATATAATATACATTGCATACTATAAATATATAATACAAAATATATTAATGGTTCGAGAATAAAAAATGAGGCCTCATCTAAGTATGTAAAACACAAAATACATTATATCTTAGATGAGCTTTAAATAGTAAAAATATTTATTTTAAACTTTTCTATTCAGATTTAGGTATATATTTTATCTATGCTGTCTAACTGCATATATTCTAAGTTTTGTATTATTTACATATTCCAAAATACTTTGCAATTCCCATTTTAAATAAAAGCTTTTATAAACCAAACAAATTTTTTAAATCAAGGAGGGAGACAGATGTGTTCTACTGCACCAGTAGGCTCTTTAGTCGTTTTGGGAAGTCGGGAGTATTCAATGCACTGGCTCAAATATAAATATCTGACTGCAATTTGCAACAGCTTTCAGTGTTGAAACCGGAAGACACAGACCAGAATCTGGAGCCAAACGTAACGAGCCGCTGAGTCAAACTGTACCGAACCGAACCCAAACTAAACTAAACTGAACTGAACTGCAGCGGGGTTAACGCACAACTAATCACACTCGGCTTCTCCACTACCAAAAGGCTCCGCCTAGGACCTTGGCCGGCCGAAATGAGTTTTTGATTAATGTCCCGCAGACCGGGTCGTGCATGTGTGAGTGTGTGTGTGGGGCGATTGATTTTCTTACTTTATTTTATTTTGGAAAAAGTAGTGGTATAATTTGTGGAGGCAGAGACAAATGCGTGAGCCAATGGCACTTGACAGCTGGCGGGGATTAAGCGCGAAACGAAAGTGCAGCAATCGGCTGAGTTATTTTCAAAATTGTGATTTAGTTCACGCTGTGAACCAGTTCATTCATCATTCTGACCAGCTGCAGCATATGGCAGTTGACAGTAGCTGAAGGGCCGGCCAGAAATTGAATGACTTGTGACTCCTGTTCCGTGACTCGTTGGAGATTAGTGGCCTAATTTTTTAGTATTGGCTTGTCAATCGGTTTATATACTATAAATAGTTCTATATATATGTATATAAGAGTGGGACTCTCAGCTAATTAGACTACCTAAATTACTTAGCTCTGACAAAGCAATGTAGTATACCTTTATTTTTAGACTGTACGGAAGGAGCAATGCTGAACTGTCCTGAGCAGGTTCAATTAATGAGTTCGTTCAAAAATGATCTAGCTCACTCTACCACTCGCCAAATGAACAATGAACATTCAATATAGCTTTTTAGCCGACGAATAGAAAGTTTTCAAGCGGGTTCGATTAACGTGCTCCACCGTTAAAATGCATTAAAATCTATAAATATTTGAGGCGAAAGGTAGATGAATCACCAATTTTATTTTTATAAAAAATCAATTCAGTGGTCATATCTTCTAATCGGTTCATGTGTGAATTCAATCGATTTTATAAAAAGGCTTTATAAATCAAAATGAGCTGTAATCTTAATTGTCTTTTTTCCTGATCATCATTTGAACAAACTTGAGGGGCTTAAAGTGCCAAGTTCGCCATTCAATAGCTTTTGAGTTGTCAACATTTTGCGTGACATAAGCTCCATTCAGGTTACTAAAAAGGCAGACTTTAATAAGAATGTTTAATGTTTCGCATATAGTTTACCAGATATAACAGTTCGAGTTGAACCACCAGCCGGATTTAAAAATCTGAGCACATCCATCAGTAGATCGATCGGGTGTAGAGAATGCAATTTGCTTATGGCTCGACAAGGAATCGCCCGCGTCACCCGAGTACTCGCCAAGATCTGCGATCTGATAAGCTTGGCTCTCGTCGCCTATTTTAAAGTGCTTATAATATGCGTAGCGTGTCTCATTCTGAAAATCCTCCATATGTATATAGAGTTCGTGGTCAGATGTTTTCGTCAGTCGGTGCAGATTCTCCAGACCCAGGAAGAAATCACCGTGCAGATCACCAAACCCCGCCCTGTAATCGTCCCAATTGCGATTAAAATTTTCGCTGCCATCTCGACGACGTTGTACCACTGTCCAACCGGAGACAGATACACTTGGATCGCAGACAGGCGAAAAACGGTCTATGCCGGACATTTTTAACAAATATACATTATATCGTTTGCCTAGACAATCGACTGATAAATAATTATCAATAGGAAAATTTGTTTGTGGGTTTTCCACAAGCTTCTGCAGCTTGTGTCTGTTTTCTTCAACTTCCATCAGATCGGTTTTAACAGTGGTTTCGTCGTTGCTTTTTTTCAAAACCTCATTGTTATTTTCCTTATTTTGTGTGTTATTTGCTAATTCAAGTAACTCTATTTTCTTATATAGTTCATATTGTTTGATTCGTGTCTCTAATTCGAGGATTTTGTTATTTTTCTCATAGATTAGTTCTGCTTTGATTGCTTCGTTCTCTTTATAGGCTTTATACTGTTCCATGAGCATTTCTATTTGAATTTGCTTATCTTTAAGAGTTTCTTCCTTATGTCTTAGGCTTAGTTCAAGGATTTTCACTTTGGCTAAGAGCTCGTCGTATCGACTTTCCTTCTCTCGCACCGAGGCGACATACTGAAGCAAAGGCTTAACGATTTTATAGCAATGCGATCCGCATTCATCGTCTTTGCTCTGCGCATAGAACTATTAAATTGAAAATGGGTTGCATAAATATGTATATTTATATATATCACTTATTAGATCTTACGGCTTGATTGTCTGTTCTCTGGACACTCGTATTCACGCATATCAATAATATTATACTATATAACAAGATCATAGTTCGCAAATACAAATTTCTAGCAGCTTTGCGCTCTGCACAACAATCTGAAGTTGAGTGGGAATTCAACTGTAAGTCGCATCGTTTTCATTTGCATTTTGTTATCAAATTTCATACTTTTGACAGTGTCTAAAGGTTCTTTTTCATTATCAGTTTAAAAACATTGAGAACTCATTCGAGTGGTATTTAAATTAATTGGGCCATAAAATATTTTATATGTTGTCAACATATGTCAATTAAATAAAAATAGTATATTCTGGTCGATTACGGAATACCTCGTTACTCATAGAAACTTTTATATACATATAAATAAACAAGTAAGAATAATCTAATCGGGGGTACCCGACTGGGAGTTACCCTGAACTCCAACTGATTGGCGTTATTAGAATTACCCCATATCTTGTTTATATGGATACATACACGAAATACGTGTAGTAAGTAACATTTTTAAATTTTTAACTAAAAACAACAACAACTTTACGTCTCTACAAGTTAAACTTTCTCCTTCACATATTGGCTCCATTTACAAATGGCGTTTAAATTAATGAATTCAATAAATTTCAAAGTTGGGAAAAATAACAAAAATCCTAATTTTATATATACATGAAAGTAAGCGTAAAATTTGAATATTCTAGCTTCAAAGTTTCACGAAATTTAATTTTATAACTAAATTTAATCAATAATATTCAAACGGGAGAAGCCATCGATTATTTGAAACAAACATGACTTGCGTGTATTGTATAGGGAGCTAAACAAAATTGCAAGTCTTTAGCTTTCAAAGGTTAGGCAATCGACGCATTCATACATACGAACAGACGGATGGACGAACGCCTATGGCTAAATTAACTCAGCTCGTCATCCTGATTAAGAAACTTTATATACATTTTAACAAAGCATTATAACCTGATTACCCGTTTGCAATGTGTTCAGGGTATACAAATTCGTCGAATGCATAACTATGCTTGAAAAAAATATTTTTAAAAGTTACCATCAAAAGAACAGCCAATTTTCTTCTTCATGAACGCATTCAAAATTAGAATTCTGATTAATACAAGTCTTTTTAAATATTAGCAACACGAAAAAACTTTAGTTTTTAATCTAAAAATATTTCTCATTTAATTTCATCTAAGTATATTCTTTTAACAATGAAAATAATTTAATTTCAGTTGCAAATAAAATAAATCTGAGAGTCTGGTTCTCACATTCCATATATATTCAATAGAATCAATTGCTTTATTGAAATGGGTGCAATTTTTCGGTTTCCTTAAATAAAATCCCAATTATTGTCAAATTGCGCTTTCAATATTTGCGTGCAATTATTAGTTGATACCTGAGTTTTAGACAGTCAAATGTTTACACACTTGAATAGTGTTGTATGCTTAGCGCGTAAATGCATACTTACTAATACACACATACACACATTCACGCATACATACATGTACATGTATAGCTGTGTGTGTACGCCCATGCAAAATATAATTTAGTATCTCCTAGTCAGGCACTTCCGACTAGAATTTGATTCGCCAAAAACTTTGGAATTTAAAAAATTATATATAGATATAAACACATTTATTAAGACATATATAATATTGGGCGATTTGAAGCGTTTTCCATTTCTAAACAAAATATTGCCGCTTATTTTTTCAATTATATATATGTATTATATATTTGAAAGTAAATCAAAATAGAGAACTATCTCAGAAGTATCTCATTTTAGCTGCGCCAAAGGCATTCCAATGCCACAGAAAAGCAATTGAGAACCCGCAATCGAATCAAAAGTAATCAAATGCGACTGTAGTTGGCAGCAGTTTCAATTGTCAGCAGATAATATTTGCTAGTGATGTATGTATATATGTACACACTTTATATGTACATTTATATGACTACGTACGAGTGTGCGCAAATAATACTCGTTTATGCTTTATTTATTTAGTTGAATGTCTCAAATGACGCACTGCCGATGCCTTTTTATATGTAAGAAATACATCGAGAGAAGACTCCTCCACACACTTATACACGATGGTGTATATAGGAACTAATATTGTTCGTTTTAAATCCCTTGTGTGCTATGCATCCAAGTTTTTCGCTGCATTCTTGCGGCTCCGCAGTTTATTGCCAACTGTTTAGGGCAACAAATAGTACACGTTCGGATGGGTCACGTACGACTGTGAAACCATTAAGAGTGGAGAGCGGACCAAAATTGACGAGAGCTGCACAGCCAATATATTAAAAGGGTATATTGTTAGCTGTCATATGGAATTAATATATACATATATACATAGGCCTGTTATTGAAAATACACACATGAATATACGCACATCTTTTATGCAAAGGAGTTTTTAAGATTTTATAACCTGAAATGGGAATTGCTTTTGTAATGTATGTAACTGGCAAATGGGGGCTTGTCAGACCCCATAAACAATAAATACTATTGAGCAGGACGAATAGTAGAATCGACTTAGCCCTGACTATCAGACAGACAGATCTGAGAATCTGTAAGATCTAGAGTATTGCAATTATTTTGTAGGTCTCTTTATAGAACAGATCAATTTTGTGTCAAGCCAATAACTGAAAGAGTTAGCACTTTTACACATATTCAATAATTCTACTGAGTACACATTTCATTTAAATTCGTTAAGACGCTATAAATAAATTGAGGAAGTTGGCAAAACACGTGGCACACATACATTTGAATATTGAATAGAAGACAAATAAGTTATAAGAAGAGAGTGAAGGTATCTACTAGTTGAGCTGCTCTACTTACATCGCTCTCACTTACATTATAGTCGGGTTCTCGAAAGTTGTGATAAATGGAGAGCAGCTTCAAACAGATGTTTGTGATAACTGAAAGGGCATTGCGACAATATATAAATTTATTTTTGTATATAAGAATGACAAATGAGCTAAATTGATTGCGAGCGGCATCTGCAAAGTGTGAGTCCAGCAATCAATTTACATTAGTTAGCCACACCCCCGAGCTAAGGTTAATGTAAAAAAGCGTATTTGTCTTTATACTTTAAGCTCATTGAAAGTGGCAATTTAGTTGAATGTAGGCAACAGGCAGAAGGAGGCGTGGCAGAGCGCATAATGTATATATACGATGCGCTGAATTGATCAAGCCCTGTCCGATCGTCTGCGGTCCCATAAACCATAAAACCAAGGAACTTGATATTCTTTTTTAGCATAGCTTAAACATCATACAAGATGGAGTCTTCAAGTTTCGAAGCTGCTTTGTATAATAAATACAAATTCTTTGGATGCCTTCTTGTCGCTTAACTTAAAAAAACGTATTTCAAATACACACATGTGAATTATTATAACAAATATAAGAGAAGCATATAATAATGGATTCAGGGTAACACCTAGTCGGGGAGTCCCGAGTAGAGCACTCTTTCTTATGCTTTGTAAATTAAATGTTTACTATTTATATTACCCCAGCAGGTACTATTTACTTGAACTAAAATTTGAGGTTCATATAAAGTGAAACTTTTATGTTGATATTAAAAATTTGCTTGAGGCATTATCTATGCCCCATTTGCATTTGCTTTATGGCACTTTTAAGCGCCCACAATGAATCTTCAAGACCCACTTAAGATGCACACATACCCATACTTGACTTGGCGCATTGTTGCCCAAAAGGCCAAGCACTTATGGCCAAAAGGCTGACAGCGAAACTTGGTCAAATTGGTTTTTTTTTTTATTTTATGCTAGCGAGCTTTGTTTTATACATTCTCTCTCTCTCCATTTAGTTCTATTTCTCTCTCTCTTTTAAGGACAAAATTTACTGAAGTGGATAATTAGAGCATAGCGCTGAGGGCTAGGCCCGTTTAAGAAGCATGTACCTGATGTATTTATGTGAACGGAGAGCCGCTTAGTTCGATGACAATATTAATAGTTGTTAATTTCAGCTATAAATGTATTTGATGTACAACAGTTTAGTTAATTTAACAAGCATAGCATATATTGACTGGCTAAAAATATGTGTTCACAGTTGTGACAGTTTAACAGTTGTATTATATATATATTATATATTATATTATATTATATATTTTATTATATTATCCCAAGCTGGACTGCTTTTATCTTACATAAGTTATAGTCCAGCATGCGGGCAGTATAATATTGAAAATACTATCCTGAAAGCAGAAGTATTTTGTTTAATGAGACTGAGAATAAAAAATGACTAATAAATTTAAAAACGTATTTCATGTCAGCCAATACTCTGGCTAGCTGGCTAGCTGTCAGCTTTCAAAATTAAATATAAAATATGTGACACTGAATTTATGACCAAAAATTAAATTAAATCTCTTTTGAGTATCAAACAACAAAAGGAATTCTAATGAAGTATTATGCTCGCATTCTAGGTAAGCAGAGCTACAGCAATCATGTTTTAATAGCCTTTAATGTCGTAGATTATTTATTATAATCTTTATATTATATGCTTTGCAGAATATTTAAAAATTGTAGATATTAGAATTTCTTATGTCAGACTTAATACAAATTTTATTAAATCAATAATTTTCATTCAGTTTCTTACAAAAAACTCTTATACATAACAAATTATGAATGTTGCAAAGCGATTTGAAATCACCTCGGCAAAATTTCGAAAATGTAAAAAAATTCATAGTAGACGAATAATATAAATTAAATAGCTTTGCTTTTCATGTTGTAAACGAGTATTATTAATTAACTTAGAATTGGTTACGCTAAACTTAATTATAATGAAAACTTTTATTGAGTATAGCCTAATATGTGTCTGCTGATCTGATACGTGTTAATCAGATTAGCGGACCCGCATGCTTCTTCTGCCCCTTGAGCACACGTCGATTGTGAGGCATGGCATAACGCAGTTTGCTCCAAAATAGTGGATCGCCCCATTTGAGATAAGTATTGAGCTTGAGATAGGCGCGCAGTTCGCTATCAATGCCTTCGAAGTGTTGGAGCTCCTTATATAGAATAATTATAATACGCTTACGCTTATCCTGCAGCGTCGCCTGATAAGCAATGCGAAACTCCATGCGCGCCCATACCGAGTTGATGAAATGCTGCGAGAGCACAATAATGACGCGCTTTGAGTCGTTGACAGTGCGCACGATCTGCTCGGGAATGCAATCGCCGACCAGCCAATCCCTGCCATGGAGGCAGACGCGAAAGGCATGCAGGCCAGTCTCAAGTTTCGGCAGCAGCTCGCCAATCAGCTCTTCGTCTTTGTGCGAATATGAAATAAAGGCGTCGTAGGTTTTGTCCTTATCCAGCTCCTCCTCGGACACAAACCATAGGCATAAATTGTGATTGTAGAGCCATATCTTGAGCTCCTGCTGGTATATGAGATACACCACGCTGAACAGGCAGATGATAATGACCAGGCCACCCAAGATGCAGCCAACCAGCAGAATATACGAGGGGCACAGCTCGCCAACATCGAGCTGCTGGAATGGCCTATCCGGCCATTCGCTGCAATATATGTCACCAATGTCCTGGATACGTTGTGGCTGCGCACGAACAAAGCCAAGCAACGGCAGGGCAGAGCAGTCACAGCTCAACGGATTGCCACCCAGGGCCAGGTTCACGGTATTATTGGTCATATAATTGATAAAGTCCTGATCAAAGACACTTATCTGGTTACCACGGACATCCAAGAAACTTAAGTTGTTCGGCAGCTGCTGGACGGCATCCAGGCTGCTGAGTAGGTTATTAGCCAGGCTTAGTTTGGTTACATTGGCATAGCCTACAATTCCATTGGCAACTGGAAGCTGGCTAATGCTGTTGTTCTTTAATTTAAGTGTTGTCTGCACCAGTGTTGTATGCGGCAGCAATGGTAGCTCCTTTAGCTGCGCGCCACGACAATCCACAGAGAGCTGCTGTGTGTGCCGTTGCACCCAGCAAATGCATTGTGGATCGCATTCCCAGTCCGCCGACTTGTACTGGCAGACGTCGTCATTGGTGCACACCAGCGCCTCGAAGGGCATAAACAATTTGACTCCATAGAATTGAGTGCCACGCATATCGACAAGATTGAGACTGCGCACATTTCCAAATGTTGTCGGATCCAACGAAGTCAGCGAGTTCTGATTGAGCATCAGCGTGGAGAGCGAAGTCAGCGATGTGAACAACTCACTGTGGAACAATTGGAGTTAGTAAGGTTAGCAAACCGAACCTTAATAAATATGTGCACTAAAATAAGAGTCCGCTAGTTACAATTTAATTGCTTAAGTTACATCGGAATTTTAAAAAATCGAAAATGTCTTTAATACACAATTAGCTAAAGAATTTAATATTTGCTATTAATTAATTATTATATATTATATTAATTAACTTGGATTGGGTAAAATAGCATTTTTAAAGTAAAATTAATATTTTTGTAATATTCTCTAATACATATAATTACTAGTCTTCAATTTTTTAAAAGCAATTAATTTAGCTTATATGCTTCTAAATATTTCTAAAGCCTTATTTAATCTAGGGAATTTGTAAAGGGGTTTTTATCCAGGGTATTTGAAAACAAACTCTTAACACTTTATCTATTGATGATGAGATTGCAAATACGAAAATAAAATTGTTAATTAATGTTTCCAGTTCCCTACATATGTTTGTGTGCATTTAAGCAAGTATGTGTATATATATATATATATATTTATGTATATGTGATATAAGAATTTTCTAATCGCTTTCGACAAGGCTTGAAATTTGTTTCACATAAAATTTCCTCACATTTTAATCGGTATTTCGGTCGAGCAGATCGATTATATTTATAATTGGTTGAAAAATTCTTGGATTCTTTCGTGATGGACACCCACCTTGATAAGTTTGCCAGCCTATTGTTTGACAAATCCAGCAGCTGCAGCTTGGTCAGCCCATTGAAGAGATCCATCGGCAGCTTGGCCAAGCCATTGCGGGATAGGTCGAGTTTGGTAAGATTGCCTTGATCGTGGAATAGTTCACTGGGCAGCTCGCTTAGATCCGGATTCTTATTAATGCCAATTAGATGCAAGTTGTAGCTGCCACGGAGCATTGTCGCATTCACATAGCTGGTGGCACGCGACAGATGTAGCTCCTCCAGTTGCGGCATGGAGATAAACAGTGGAGACAATCGCTGCTTGGATTGATCATCTGGGGAGCGGGCAAGCTGCAAAGTCAAATTACGTAGCTGTTGCAGCTCCTGCAGCAAGGCTGGTTGGAAGTGGAACTTGTAGGGATTCGAAATCGAGAGAGTATGCAGGCTATGCGCAATGCTGGAGAACAGACGCAATGGCAAATGGTGCACAGCTAGGCGCAGCTCCAAGGTGCTCAGATTGTGGAATGCATGAAATATGGATTCACTTAGCACACGCTGATGGCTCTCGTACTTGAAATACTCCAGCATGGGCACCTCACTAAACAGCCAGGTGCTCACATTTTTGGCACCAATATCTTCCGCTTTTATATCCAACTCGTACTCATCTTTATTGGGCTTCGATTGCTCATTTGTTTCGATGCTTCTATCGCGAAACTGTATGCTCAACACCTGCTCCACGCCCAAAGTATCCAAGAGCTCTGCGAAAAACGTCTCCGGCCAATAATTATAGGCATCGAACTCAAACTGTGCCACCTGGCTGATATTTAGACGCGGCAGCCAGTGTATATTCCCGCTGGCGTAATAACTCATCGCTATATTATTGCCAGTATCCGTGATCTGCAAGATCATGGCATACTCATCCAAGCAAGAGATACGAACGAGGTTTGCTTGCGGCTCGCATGTGCACCAATTGTGCACATGACGACAGTAATTCGATAGCGGTATGATCTGAGCATTGGTGCAGGCAATCGCACAAATTACGATAAGATATCGCCAGCTATGCATGGTCTACACGTTCCATGAACACAAACACAAACACAAACACAGACACAGACACACTTGCTCCGATGTTCATAAGCATTTATTACACGCCTCGACGCGACTATCAAAGGCAACGCCTCAACTCTGACTAAACAGTCGACAATTTTTAGCTCATTTCTATATCAATTTTTGTTTTATCAGTCGTGCGACTTTTGTCTTCATTTTTAAGCCCATATCTACGATATACCGCCGTGTGGCTAAAAAACTAAATGGACTTAAGGGTGATTTAAATGCGTCGTAGACGTGGATCTTATAATTAAAGTCTACAAATTTGATGTATCTATTTTTTTACAGTGCATTTTGACTCCGATACTGTGAGTTTTAATAGGGTAAGCTATCGTAAGAAGTAAATAATTGATAATTGATGATTAAAAAGTGTATATAACACCAAAGTTTTTGAACAATTTAAGTGGAAAGACCATAAGAGCAGCCCATGCTCAGCCGCTGTTAAGCTGCACAGTAGGCAACAGTAAGATATGGATATACATTGATATACATTTGAATTCAGTGAAGAATGGTTTTGTAAAAATGTATGTAACAGGTAAAAGGAGGAGTACTAGACCAGAAGCACGAACTAAGTCGTCCAAGAAATGACTGTCTATCCGTCTGAGTGTCTGTCCGTCCATATGAACGCAGCGATTTCTTAAATCACAAAATCTGGAGACTTGAAATTTTAAATTTGAAAAATCGCTTATATATATATATAGCAGTAGAAACTTATTGTTTTTTTACGATAACTTATCCCATTTACTTATCGATCAATTTCAAATACCAGAGCCTTGTGCTTTGGCAAATACAAGCATCTGCTTTAATTAAGTGCAGCATGATGTATCTATGTATCAAAGAATCGTGGAGTAAGTGGAATATCTCCACCATGCAGCGTTCAGGGTATATCCTAGTCGTGCCGTCTCGACTAGAGCACTCTCAGTTGTTTGATAACATTTTTGTTGATAACAAACTTCCTGAAATTTGAAAACATTTACTGAGTTCAAGTGGAACGCAGTCTTTATGTGTTGCGTTGATAACAATCCACTCTGATTGCTCATTTCAAATATTCAATTTAATATTCATAGAGAAAACTACTTATCAGTGAGGCTTTTTATTTTATCATTATACTTATGTTGTTGAGATACTATTTATGCAAAAAGGATTCAACATTTAAAAAGTAAAGCGGACGGCTCAACTAGTAGATACCCTGAACTCGCGAAGCATTGATATTCGAATCATTTCACGATTCTTTTATACATACATTGCAAACAGCCTCTTCACACATACACATACGTACAGACACGCATCCGCACGCTCTCTGCTTAATGCGCTTGAGCTGCAGTATGGGCTTACTAAAGGAACTTAATTGCTGAATAACTGTCGCTCTGATGGATTTTCTTAATGAAAGTTGCAGTGCATAATTATGGCAGATGCTTGTATTTAGCATAGCACAAGTCTCTAGTATTTGAAATCAGTTTTTTGCAAATTTGGCGGAATTATCGATTTTGATCAATAATAAGGAAATGAAGAAAATAAACATATGCATGATACATACATTTTATATTTATACCATATGCAGTACGAGCTATTAATTATTTCGATAGTTCATCGCTTTTCCCTATTATCGATAAAAGTCGATAATTTGATTTACTTTTTCAATCGTAACTTTAATGACCTAAAAGTTGGAGGTTTCAGAGTTACTGTAATGTCTACAGAGAGTTCAGAGTTACTGTACAATCATTACAAGAACCTGTAATACAGATATTTTTATATTTTGGATTTCCTATTCCATAATGAATTCATAAAAAACATATTTTCAATACTAGAAACTTGAGCTTTGGCAAATACACACATATAAATGTCGAAAGATTACATGTCCTAGACCTACCCCACAGAATTGGATAAATATGTAAAGTAGGTAAATAAATTGATCTCATTGGAGCCGAAGCCATTCGGTTACGTAATATTATTTTTAACAAATTTTTTTATTGTCTAGTATAAGACAGATTGCAAATAAAAACAGCAATTAAAAAAAATAAAAGTATAATACTTTGATTAATCTACTTAATTAATCTACAAGATTAATCTACTTTGATTGATCTACTTAGGAGAAAAGTTGTAGAGTTCAAATCTAATAGTCGGGAAGTTTCGACTGGAGCACTAATACTTGTTAAATTTCAGAATTTTACCCAGTCTAATCTAAAAATCTGCTTTAAATTTATATAGTGTGTATAAATAAATTTGAAATGCTAGTCGTACATGAAGTTAAAATGAATGAGGCGTCCATAATATTTAGCTTTAAGACACGCCCCCAAAAATACAACAAGACAGCTGCGCGAAGGCCCACGCCCAACGCCAACTATAATAGGCATGGGTATGACAAATTGTTAGACCTGGGGAGAGGCGAGCCGTTCGCCGTATGTAAGCACTCAAAAATTAAGCGCTTAAAGGCCAAGTCAATCACATAAATAGCTGGAGCAAAAAGTCTAGGCCCCATTAAAAACTTGTGTGTCAGCCACGTACTACTTTTTCATAATTCATTTTCGCGTTGACGGACTGCAATTCGTTAACACATTTAGACCGAACGAAAAGAAAGTTTTGAATTGGAATCATACTAAAAACCCCAGCAGAGTTCAGTACGCACCCACACACTGCCAAATACACACACTCGCACACGTAGTACCCACATAAAACAGAGCAATTAGACAGACGACTCTTGGGCGACAAATTATGCATACGCCGCGTACTACACCAAACCAAAGAAATTTTAGTTATTTTTCAAATGCTTAAATACGGTTTCAAAAAGCTTATTGGAGTAGAGAAAGCCATGTTTGTTTCTATGGAAAGCAATTATTGGTCGACAGATGTGTGTCTTTTGATTTCATGCCCCAAAAATCAACTTGCAAAGCTTACACACAGGCAGCTTACAAATGACGATATTGCGTATACGCAACGTAGAAAATACTAAAAACTTGGTCTTTCAGATTGTGCAAGCTGTTGAGTAGACTTATTGATTTGAAACCAAAAGTTGATGTTGTTTACAAAGCTGACAAAATTCATTTAATTTGATTTTCCCGAGAGTGCAATCAGAGCATAAAAAACGAAACACAGAGGCAGCCGAGTATGTACAGAAAGTATACTATAAATAAATAAATAGAATTCTCAAATGATTACAGACCATACTGCAGTCGACAGCTAAATCTGCAGATGCTATATTCTTAGGAAGTTCGAAGATCTCGACTATCTAAGTGTCTCTTGATTAAGTTTATATGTTTAACTTTACTTTGAACTGCATAAAGGGATTGCAAGAAATTCATTTCTTTTCAGAGCATTTGCATTTCCAGCTGCATTTGCTATTGTTGTTATTATTGCTGCCGCTCTGTTTATTTATCCAAAAAGCTTAGCTCTAGACATTGCTTCTATCCCAAACTAAACTGAGATGCACCAACTGCCAAAGATCTCAAGAGTAGCGCATTCCGAGCTAGGGAGGAAGTAGGGTGTGGGTGCTGCTTGCTACTATTGCTGGCCATAACAATTGCATCAGCTGACAGTTGCCAGTTGCCAGTTGCCAGTTGCCAGTTGCCAGTTGCCAGTTGCCAGTTGCCTGCTTGTCCTTTTTACTCTATCTACAACGCGCTCGCCACGTGCCATGGTCAGGCATAAATTAGCCAAGTAGCTAAATGAAGTGTGTGTACGCGTGTGTGTGTGTATGTGTGCAGCAATTTAGTGCTGACATTTATGTGAAATCCCCATTTAAGTGGTTCAAGCCCAAACTGATTGATGTCGCTTTCAAGCGTCTATCATTGCCACCCATCAGCTTATTTAGAGAGGGAGAAAGAGAGAGAGAGAGAAAGCGAGAGACAGAGACAGACGCAGAGACATATTCTCTTTAAACAACGAACAAGGGTTGCTTATAAATTAGTACATAAAAAGTCAGATAAGAAATGGTCAAATATCATCCATATATTGAATAGTATTAAACTAAAATATTACTAATTACTATTATTAAAAAATATTACTTAGCTCCAGTCTACACTTCAATGAGTTCCACAACAGTCAGCATTTTATTATTTTACTCATTCATTTGTTAAAGCGTTAAGATTTTCCAGTGAAATGCTAAATCGTGTATATCAGAAACAATATTAGTGAAATTGCTAGAGACTTGAAATTTGCAACCTTTTACTACGCCTATTACGGGCGTGGCAAATCGGGTAAAACTAAACTTTCCGCAGTTTTATGAGTTACTTTTAATCACCTGCAGAATAAGCAAAAATGAGACATCTACTAGGAGCGTGGTCTGTTCTGATCTGATTATATTCTGCTCTGTAAGAATTCGGATAAATTAAGTATTTTAAACACTACTAATACTAGATACTATCAATTTTGAATATATACTCGTGATATATAGGATTATGGAATTTGAATATAGAATTACTGTTGGCATTTTATATCGCTAAAAATTTACGTCTTTTTAGAAACGTAGCGAATCGAAAATACCCCGTAATTTCCTCATTGTTGGAACCAAAACCTCATTGAAGCTGTCAGCGCTTGCACCCTTAATTGGTATTATGCAGTCGGTAACGCTTAATACCCATATACCATTATATATATACATATCTATTCAAATGTTACTTTACATATTATATAGAAATAAGGTTCCGGTTAGGCACATCCTTAAGCTAGAAGTAACTGTATGCGCAGGTCAGGTCAACAAGGAAAGAGCTGTAAGCTGTAAGCTGAAGATAGTAAATATGATAGGTAATATACGTTATATTGAACTAAGAAAAAGGGAAATGAATAAAATGTCTTTCAATTTTGAAGTGTTTAGTGTGGCATCATAAACATATGTAACTATATACGTTTTAATTTATTATTTATCCCTTAACATATTTTCAATTTGAAGTTCAGGAATTTCAACGACTGCTTGCTGCTGCAGCTGCAGCTGCTGCTGCAGTTACCTCCTGCGTTGCATTCAACTTTGAATGCAGGCGATGTTCGCAAGTGTTCAAATGCAACGGCGCATGAAGCGACAGAGACACAAAATAAAGAGCAAGCGACACCAACAGCGAAAAATGCTGAAGCAAAAACTGCCAAGCAAAAAGTAAAAGCTG